GTGCAGCAGCGGCGGCAGCAGGGAAGTCCCTGCTGCGGCTTCTGAAGACAATTGCCTCTGTCTCTGACCGCCGGCAAAGACAAGCAGCAAGGGCCCCACATAGCCAGTTGCTGCTGAGGAGGCTCACCCAGAAGCCAGCTGCAAACAGCAGCAGCAGCAGCAGCAGCAGCAGCAGCAGCAGCAAACGCAGCAGCAGCAGCAGCAGTGAATAGACACGGGCGCCCTTGGAGGCAGCAACGGGGGCAGCGAAACGCCGAATCTGCGGCTCCCAAAATGCAGCAGCAAGTACAGCAGCAGCAGCACCGGGAGAGCAGCAGCAGCAGCAGCAGCAACAGCAGCAATAACAACAGCAGCAACAACAACAGCAGAAGCAACAAGAGCAGCTGCAGCAACGGCAACAAAAGCAAGGACAAAACCAGCGACAACAACAACAGCAGCCGCAGCAGCAACAGCACCGCCAACAGCAACCGCAGCAGCAGCAGCAACAACAGCAGCAGCAGCAGCAGCAACAGCAGCAGCAGCAGCAGGACGGACAGCGTGTGGGGAAGCCCGAAAGGAGAATGCATGCAAAGACATGCAGCAGCCCCAAAGACACGCAGAAGTCCGCGACTTTGCGAGAGCGCCGCACCACCCAGTACACAAACACAGACCTGCAGCAGCAGCAGCAGCAGCAGCAGCAGCAGCATGTGTTGGTACGCACGAGAGCAGGAGCAGGAGCAGCAGCAGCAGCAGCACAAGTACACGCAAAATAGGTGCCACAGCAACGGCAGCAGCTGATGATGTGGCAGCAGCACCAGCAGCAGCAACTTATGCGGCAGCATAAGCGACAGCAGCATACGCGGCGGCAGCAGCAGCAGCAGCAGCAGCAAACTCACAGAGCAACGCCCGTCAGCAGCAAAGCCGCATCCAGCGCAGCTGCTGTCTCTTTGGGGGTGGAGCTGCTGCCGCTACTAAACAGCAAAGACACATGGCGTGGCTGCGGCGCATGCGTTGCCGCTGCTGCTGCTGTTGCTGCTGCAGCTGCTAGGCTGTCCTGTGGCTGACGAAAAGAGTGCTGCTGCTGCTGCTGCTGGACTACGGGTGCCGACCGCTGACGCTGCTGCAGCAACGTGAGGGCAACAAAGGAGAAGAGACACAGCAGCAAATAGAAGCAGCTCAGCAGCAGCAGCAGCTGCGACAGCAGCAGCCACGGGTCGAAGCGGCCGCCCCCGTAAAGCGCCCCTTGAATCAGCTGGGGAGGCTCTCTCCTGCTGCTGCTGCTGCTGCTGCTGCTGCCGTTGCAGCTATTGGCGCCCTGCGGTCGCCGCATCGTAGGGGCGGCAATGCAGCAGCTGCAGCAGCAGCAGCAGCAAGAACGAGGAGTCCTGCAGCATATATAGGGGGGCCCCCCGGGGATCCTCACTGAGCCTC